GCCACAAATCAAAAGATGTGGTACAAAAGAAATAGGAATATGCAACCAGAGTCAGCCGAATTTATTATGCAGAAAGGACATAATACTGCAATATTAAATAAAGAAAATGGGAACAGTGTTCTAGCTCATGCTGACCAAATAAGATCCCAAGGAGAAGAATCTGATGAGGAAATGCCTTCAGAGATGCCCATTATTGATGTATCAGAAGAGTTAATGCAGAATGAAACTGCGGAGGAAGAAGTAGAGAGAGATGAGTTAGAAGAGGAAGACCAGAGTATGCAAGAGGAACAATTCGATTATAGGGAAAGACGTGATAGATCTAGATCTCCAAGGGAAAGGAGAGAGATAAAGGAAGATGTTCAGGAGGGCACAAGAAGTACTCGCGGCATAAGGCCCCTCCGTTATAGGGAGATGTAGTGATATGCAAATTAGTATAATTTGCATATGAGCAGGTAGCTCATATATAATAAATGAACACCAACGAGAACGGAAGTAAAAATAAGAACTTAGTGGGATACACGACATAACAAATACATTATTGTTAGTTTGTATATAGTGTTGTTATTACTTTATTCATTTAACACCCGGGGTAACATTCGAGTTCGTAACAATTGTTGTGTGAAAAATATACCAGGAAACACATGTTTCCTACCTAAACAAAACCAGTATTCTCGCAACAGTGCCTTAGTAACTGTTTACCCTAATAAAGAATTTGAAGAAGAAACAGATGCTAGACGGTCGAACTCTCTGCCTCTGAGCAGAGAGAAACCCGGATGAGGCTCAGCCGAAGGGCAGAGTCTCGTTCGGGGAGGTTGACCAACCCGATCTCGTTATGCGGGTCCTATGGGCATTTTTTGGCTGAACCTACAGGCTCGGAGAACCCACGTTAAACCCAGCCTTGTGCCGCATGCAACCCTCATGGGGGGGAGTGGCTAAATATTCTAGCCGAAATCTTTTTCGGCTGTACTGTCAAACTCTCTTCCCGAAGGCAGAGAGGAACCCAGACGAGGCTATGCCGAAAGGCAGAGTCTCGTCTGGGGTGGTAGACCGACCCGACCCCGTTTATACGGAGTCTACGGTGTGTGTGTTTTTTTTTCCGAGCCTACGGGCTCGGGAATCACACATTAAATTCGGCCTTGTGCCACATGTGACTGCGTCGGGCAGTTGCTAGATACCGTCTAGCTGGGATGTGTTGAGTACGACTCAGACTTACGCGAGAACTACCGACCTTCCAATTGTAGCACTCACTACTGGATTGACTTGCGACGATCGTGCGCATAACTGTTACTTTATTTCTTATTGGTTATTACAATAAACCTTTACTTATTGTATCCACCGTGTTTTTCAAGTATATATTCCTATTAGCACGGAATTTAACATAAATATAACAGATCAAAAAGTATTAGGTTCATGTTCGATAGCACTAGAAAATCCAAGATAAAAAGTGATAAGATATGCCGTTGGCGTATTGAGCTGTCCCAGTTTAATTTCACTATTCAGGATCTAAGAATACTGTTACCGATACCTTTTCTCGTATCTCTGCCTTCACCCACACGTTGCAAGACTTTTATGATTCGAATCTTCAATTATATCAACCTGGCATTACACGCCTTTTCCACTTTATCATAGCAAGAAACCTCCCGTTCTCTTTAGGCAAAATAAAAAGTGTAACCAATTACTTCACATCCTGTCCATATCTGAAACCAAAATTCATAACCATGGGGGACACTCATAAAAGCAATGCTACCATTCCAATGATTAGATATCGATTTTAAAGGACACTTACCATCGTCTGTAAACAGTAACAAATACCTACTTACTCTAATTCTCCCATTTTTCGTTTGCTTTTCCCTGCAAAATCATGTCTAGCCGAATTATCACACACTGCCTGAACCAACTATTTTCAGTTTTTGGTATGCCTGATATGATACACATCGATAGGGCAACAGAGGAAACCAAAAACCATTTGCATGAAAAAGGCATTGCTACATCGAAAACAAATAAATACCATCCAGAAATCAATGGACATGTTGAAAAACTTAATGGCGCCCCATGGAAGTCTATTCAGGTAAACTTACATTCTGATAACATGAAACCCTCCTAATGGGGAAACGCCCTACCTGATGCACTCCATTCAATTAGATCCTTACTTTGCACAATAACCAATGTAACCCCGTCCAATGACAAATTATTTAAATACAGCCGCAACTCCACATCCGGAACCTCGATTCCTTCTTGGATAAAACCAGGACCGATATGCGTCAGGAACCACACCAAGTCAAATAAGCATGATCCCCCCACCCCGTTACCCCTGCTAGACTTCTGGAAATCAATCCTCTCACTATGCACATATAATACATGTACCTTCTGGCGTTAAATCTACAATCGATGTGCGAGATATAGCTTCCAAATCTACTAATGGAGAAGACACTTGGACGAATGACAACTCTACAAACCCCTAACCCATGCCAGCGAAAACAAGGAGGTTCCACCTTCTGAACCTGAAGAAACCAACACACCCTGTGAAATTAATAGTGGGGGTGAAGATACCATTGAATTTGTGCAAATATCTTTCAGAATACGAAGCATTCCTAACAAATACAGAGACTTTGTAACTGGATTGAGGACTAATAACTTCCCCACTTCATATTTCTTGAATGGGATAATGTTGTAGTGTAAAACATGAGCTTGTTGCGGAATGTACATGGAGTGAAATGTATCAGAAGGTAAATTTATGTAAGACGAAGTTTATGCGTGCTTATAATGTCTGTATCCCACAACATATAGATTACACAAACAATTTAAGAACAATTTGGATGGCAAGAAATTGCTAAACACAGTTGTTAGAGATCTAACAATGAAGAAATTTTTATATCACAATAAAATATGCATATAATGACAATCAAAACATTTGTTGTAATAACTAAGATAATGTTATAAAGAATGTTTATGCAGAAATATGATTAAGAAATGTTGATGCTTTTTGATTGTCAGAAAAATTAAAATAACTTGGTTTCTGCAAAGAAAGATGTCAAATGTGTTTGTTTCCTTTATCAGTGTACGTGCGTAATTTAGAAGCAAGGATAAATGTTGTCAAGAGTTGCTTGCCTTTAACTGATAGGCTAAATTGGTGAAGTATACAATTACTTTTTTTAGTAGTGAAAACGTTCACATTTTAAGTCAATTGTAGATGTTCTTTGAACACTCGGACAGTGGTTGACGAATGCTTTGCTGAGTTTGTTGAGTCAGTGAATTGACACGCGTGGAGTTTGGTAGCATCTCATGAAACTCGATGACTGACTGGCTGAATTGAGTCATGCGGTTATTTTTATAGACTTTTGTGTAGCAAAATCGGCTCAAGAGAGCTTAGCGGGAAATAGGATTCGCCTGGAACTTTACTACAATTTGGTGTTTATTAACCAATAGGAGGTTGAATTTGCAGAAACGAGATGATGATTGGTCAAAAGCTTTTTAGAGAAGAATACATCTTTCTGAAAGGGGTTAAAGACTAATGTGGAAGATTCCACAAGCTCCCCTAGATTAGCTGTATCCCGGCAAATTGGACACAAAGTTGCCACCTCTTCCAGTTAAGAAACCGCCATATTCACTTGAAGGTAACGCGTGTATTTGATTGCTATTAAAACCTTATACAAATGGTTATTAAGTCTTGTCTCATTTTATGATATCTTCCTCTCACAACACAACGTATCGAAAGTATGCGACAATAATACGAAACGACTATGGTCGTTTTTCTTTGAAGAATAAAGAAAAGAGTTTCAGTAAGACTTAAAATCAACAACATAGAGTTGAATATGGATAGCCAAGGTTATGTTGACCCCCCCCAGCCCAAAAAAAAAAATTTTTGGAGTGTCTAGGCAAACCAAAACTATTAATAGTCATCTGAAGCTGCGCATGTTTGTTGGCTCACTGATTGGAATATGTTGAAGGCTTTCTATAGTTGAAAAAAAAAACAAAAAAAAACAGACAAACAAAAAAAACAAACATGCTAAAAAACTATAAAGCAAGCCTAAAGCTGAAAAAAATATGAATCTCGCATACCATTAAGCACGTAAATTACTAATATATATTACTAATATATATTACTAATATATATTAGTAATATATATTACTAATATATTTATTTCCATTACTAATTGCAAAATATATAGTGGAACAAGGCCTTTTTGAAGTAGTTCCACTTGATGGCAATAAAAGGGCAGGATCCATAGAGGTTTTGAGAAAGTACTCGTAGACCTTTTTTAATAATGTTCACCTAGGCTCAAAAGTCACTGAAGGTAGTATAAGGTTGGGTAGAGGATTTTAAACTCAATCAAGGCCGAAAAGTGAGAATAGGTTAATTACAAATCACACATGGCAGTAATATTTTTAGCTTAATTTGACTCTTGTAAAGATAAAGAGTCAAGTAATTTCTGGATGTATATGTGGAAATAATAAAATAAGAATAAGACATAAAGTTTACTCAGATTCAGACCCAATGCTGAATGTAGAATTGACCTTACACTCTGTTATGGTCCGGTTTCTTGTACCACGGTGATAGTCCAAGGTATAACCAATAAAAAAGAACTCGAACACAGGTATGGAATAACACAGATATATTACAAACAGGAATATATACAGAGAAGTAAAAATGTTAGTATGAACAATCAGGTTTAGTAAAGAGAACAATGTAGTCACGACCAGTATCACTATTTCAAAGTCTTGCAGTAATTGTCTGAACGCGATTCTGTTTCGGACTGCCTCTGACTCGACTCTTGACTCGACTTGAACTACTCACTCTTTGCCTACTCCTGAGGCGCCAGTATTTATTAAGTATGGAATAGTCCATTATTATTATTATGGGTAAGATCCCATAACACACTTCTTATCAGGAATGAAAGTTTTTACTAAAATATATTTAAAAATGATGTACCAATCAATGATAAATTCAAAGAAGTGACAAGGACAAATGCGCTGTTAGGACGACGATATCCCAGAATTCCATGCGGAATATAAACGGCAACCACCATATTTCAAAGACATATTCAACAAGTTCTGGGAGACGATGTAAGAATATACCGTCATATATCAAAACATAAGCACTATTGCTGAAGAAAATGGCTGCCTTGAGTAGATTAAGGAATGAAGGAATGACAATAAAAAAACAAAAAACAACAACAAAAAAAAAACAAAAAACAAAACAAAACAAATGCGTATACAACTATGGTAAAATATCCTTTCTGGCATATATGATCTACACATAAGTATATCCACGCAAGAAACAAGGATCGTGCCATATATTTTGTAAATTTCAAAAATCATTTTCACTGAATCCATTCTGCGCAGACGAACCATACCAAATAACAAAGAGCAACAATAATGGACCAATCGAATCGATCTATTTTGTTGTTTAAAATTCTAAGCTCATAGCCTCTAAAATAAATAAATGGTTTACAACTCAAACGCCAGTAGACACACTGGCTTCAATGGGATTCCTCTTTAACTACCGGTGAATTCAAAGGAATTGTCTTCGGTCGTCTACCCAATTTCTCAGACAGGCTTAATCTCAATTATACAACTAAATGTTCGACAAACTTCCACTTCTCTCTCTCACTTTCTCTCTGTATATAACCCCTTCTCTATTTGATGCATATACATACAGACGTTTTTATTTAAATATCTGTAAAAGAACATTCATTTTATGCAAAAGTTTTTATTTAACAAACAACATTAAATTACACCAACTTACTCTGCTGCTTTTGTATTTCGACTGCTTTGTTTGTCCGTGTATATATATATATATATATATATATATATATATGTGTGTGTGTGTGTGTGTGTGTGTGTGTGTGTGTGTGTGTGTGTGTGTGTGTGTGTGTGTGAACATAGAAGTCAACACTTAGAGGCGACAGTCTGTTTCATGCTGGATGCAATCGTCAGGCCAAGTGGCATTCACTTTTATATTTACACACGCTTTATCTCTGATATTGAGCACTTTATCCCATAAATATAGCACATCTTAAGACTATATTTCTTCATATATATATATATATATGTGTGTGTGTGTGTGTGTGTGTGTCTATCTATCTATCTATCTATCTATCTATCTATCTATCTATCTATCTATCTGTATTCTCTCTCTCCATCCCCCATCTCTCTCTCTCTCTCTATATATATATATATATATATAATTATTATTCTGATAATCAATGTATGCATTGAATCACTTTATTTTAAAATGGCTAAAATTTCTACCCAAATTTTATTATGCTTTCCATGCTAAATCTGAACAGTCTCCCAGATAATTATTTACCTTGAGTTTCCTTTATATATCCCGTTTCAAAGGCGAAAGAGTAACTAAATCAGGTATTTGTAGAAAATTTATTAAAAAATATCGATACCCATTGTTGATAGAATCTATTCTTATGAATGAAACTCTGTGATGCGGTCGGATGACCTTATAAGTGGGTTTCTTTAATCTGAATATTCGTATTCGTTGATTGGCCCCAAAATTAACGAGTTGGCTGGCAAAGTCAGTTGTTGCAGAAATCTGCTTCAGAGCTGTTTGTTTACTACCATTTGCTGATCTGGTGTAAACTATACCACAAAAACCTAGCAACTCCCAACTGAAGTTTATTTTTCTAATTTCTTGCCGATGGGCCTTTATATTTTTTTTCCTTTTTAGCCATTGACCATTGTTACGAGGATGCATTTCTATAGTAAGGGATTCTACCGAGTCCTATTTGTTAATACAAAAAAGTTTCCATTCATGAAGTAGTTGTAAAATAGAGAAATTAGAAATAGAATGTTTGGAAGATTCTAGATCATTCTAGTATATTCGAGAAAAATCTAGATGATTCGAGAAACATCTAGAAATATGCTAATTAGGTGCTAGCCCCTATAAAAATAGGTTTTTGGAAAAGGGTTGTCAGTTGGTGAAAAGAAATTCGAAGAAACCCACGTTAAACTTGGCCTTGTGCCAAATACATTCCTCGTGGGGGGACTGTTAAATATTGTTGGTGAAAAGAAATTTCTGCCAGTATCAACTCCGGCTTTTTGATTCGAGGATTATTATATCCAGCCGAAAGAATCTCTATGAAAAGTTGCCGACCAACAAAAACCCAAAAAGAGAACCACATGGAACACATCTGGTAAATAGAATTTTGACTATTTTCATTGATCAAACTACCAATTATTCAATATATACTCACATTTGTGGATTTACAGTTAGCACTTAGATTACTTCGCTAGCCCTAACGTAGTAAAGATACTTGATTCCCTTTCCTTCTCATTCGTAACAAGACTTTATTCCCCTTCCTTCTCATTCGTAACAAGACTTGACTCCCCTTCCTTCTCCCTCGTAACAAGACTTCTCCCCTTCCTCCTCCCTCGTAACAAGACTTGACTCCCCTTCCTTCTCATTCGTAATAAGACTTGACTCCCCTTCCTTCTCATTCGTAACAAGACTTGACTCCCCTTCCTTCTCATTCGTAACAAGACTTTACTCCCCTTCCTTCTCATTCGTAACAAGACTTTACTCCCCTTCCTTCTCCTTCGTAACAAAACTTGACTCCCCTTCCTTCTCCCTCGTAACAAGACTTGACTCCCCTTCCTTCTCCCTCGTAACAAGACTTGACTCCCTTTCCTTCTCCTTCGTAACAAGTCTTGACTCCCCTTCCTTCTCCCTCGTAACAAGACTTGACTCCCCTTCCTTCTCCCTCGTAACAAGACTTGACTCCCCTTCCTTCTCCCTCGTAACAAGACTTCTCCCTTCCTCCTCCCTCGTAACAAGACTTGGCTCCCCTTCCTTCTCCTTCGTAACAAGACTTGGCTCCTTCTTTCTCCCTCGTAACAAGACTTGACTCCTTTCCTTCTCCTTCGTAACAAGTCTTGACTCCCTTCCTTCTCCCTCGTAACAAGACTTGACTCCCCTTCCTTCTCCCTCGTAACAAGTCTTGACTCCCCTTCCTTCTCCCTCGTAACAAGACTTGACTCCCCTTCCTTCTCCCTCGTAACAAGACTTCTCCACTTCCTTCTCATTCGTAATAAGACTTGACTCCCCTTCCTTCTCCTTCGTAACAAGACTTGACTCCCCTTCCTTCTCCCTCGTAACAAGACTTGACTCCCTTTCCTTCTCCTTCGTAACAAGTCTTGACTCCCCTTCCTTCTCCCTCGTAACAAGACTTGACTCCTTTTCCTTCTCCCTCGTAACAAGACTTGATTCCCTTTTCTTCTCCCTCGTAACACTTCGCCCGTAAACTCTGTTTTCTGTTTTTGTATGCCACAATTGTATATCTTGTATATATTTTTATGTTGTAATTTAGCTCTGTGTTTTGGTAAATCATTTTTTTCCTTTGTTACAACTTCCAATACTTAACACCATAAGCACTTAAATTACAATAAAACTTTTTTTTTGTTTATTATAAAACTTGATTAATCTTCTTGTCATTTCCTTCACGTCTCTTTATCTTACTTCTTTTGTCGCACACACCCATGAATAATAAAAAAGAACATTTAATCTTTTAGAGGATTAATAATTTTAAAAAAAATACTTACTGCAGTTATAGTACAGAGTTTAATGAACCATTTGCCTATCTGTGAAAAACCGAATTCCCATGGAAAGAAGAACATAAAAAAAAAAACCTTTGAAATGTTTAAATCTTTATACTTGTTTTATTTTGGTATCTCCGAATTACAATTCGCATTTTGGGCTAACAACCATAAATTCTGTCTTCTTACAGTTGGTGTTTAGACCAGGGGTTTTCAAACTGTGGTCCGCGAACCACAGGGGGTCCGCAAGAACAAGATAGGGGGTCTGTGGACAGCAAAGACTTTTTTTTATGGGTGACGTGCAACTTATAATGAACTGGAAGAACTGGCGGAAATTTCAAGCGAAAGAACTTTAAAAATCAGTTTTGTGCAGCAACAACTTTCGAAATTCTGACTCACTGTAGCCTCCGAGTAGCCATTGTTATCTCGAAAGGCAGTTAAGATTTTGTTACCGTTTGCAACAACTTATTTATGCGAAGCAGGATTTTCGGCACTAACCAATCTGAAAAACAAATACAGATCCAGACTTGCTCCAGAAAGTGACTTACGCGTATGTTTATCAGTAATATCGCCAAGAATTGACAGTTTGTGCAAAGCCAAGTAAGCCCATCCTTCTCACTAAGTGTGTATTAAAAAATCCTGTGTGTGTAATTGAAAATAAAACTATTTGTTGATTACTATTTTGATTTACATGTAAAATTAATATTTTAATTTTGCAGCAACATGTAGCATTAATTTATTTAAACACTTATGTCTAAAGTAAGCTTTAAACCAGCTTTTATTGCATTAATGCAAAATTATATGTTATATTCAGCAAATATTTCTGTATAAATTTCATAAGCGTTTATAAGGGGGTCCCTAAGGTAAAGCCTGAAATATAAAGGGGACCGCAAATCAAAAAGTTTGAAAACCCCTGGTTTAGACCATTCTTTCTCGTTCTCCTTCACTTCATTGGTCAGTTATTTTGTGCATGTATTTTTTTCACAATTACCATTTCATGTACTATAAAATGTTCCCGTTAGAAACCTTACACATTTAATTACTAAAGTAACTAATCACTAAAATAGCCATAATCAGCCTTAATGTGAGGACAAATTAGAACCCTTTTAACTTTGTCTTATTCCAAAAAGGAGAGAATGTGGTATAAAAAGAATAAGGCCTCTGATCCGGAAAGGGACAATTTTATAATACAAAGAGGCAACAGAATAACCGTTATAGTAAAAGATGGCCACAGCATAGCAGTCCATAAAGATCAAATAAGGCCCTGAGAAGAATACACGAAAAAGAAGGACAAAGGGCTTTCCATAGACACTCCCAGTTATGATGTTACGGACCAACCACCAAATCTTGCCATACGGAATAAAACAAAGTCATGGTTGCAGATAATCGATAGGGTCAAAAAAATTCCAGCGAAAAAGTCCAACGAAGATATAACAATGGAAGAAGAATATTTTGAATTCCAGGGCCGGTCCTTACTACCTCAAGATCCCCTGACCCGGCGATTCACGCCAGACTGGAGGCCCTGGCCAGTGCTTTATCAGTCTCGTTATCTTATCAACATTTGCTTTTTCTACCTGTATTTATATATGTTACAAATTAAACTAATCACAACTATTAAAGTATGAAAGATTTTCGCGGATTTTGACGACATTCTGAGGCCTATTTTCTTTTGTCCAAATTCCTGTTGATTTATTTAAGTAAGATGGAATGATCTATTATGACATACCTCTAATTTGTATTTAGATACATAGTTTTTATTTTCAATTTTTCTAATTGAATTGTTCACCTATATTACATATGATCCGTTATTGTACATAATTAGGTTACAATAATAAAATTTATATTTTCTGTGACTACTACCTTATGAAAATTGAGATGTAGTAGAATGTGGGAGTGCGTTATATAAATTTGGTGGGCGCATGAGAGCATTGCACCGGTCCTGCTGAGTTCAACATAGGACTAGCAAGATCGAAATCTTCAATAGAAAGAAACACAACAGGATCTCCGGAGAAAGGGAAAAGAACACAAATAATATCCCCAAAAGGAAACAATGTAAAGAAGATCTACAAAAATCCCCTACGTTTCTGGGAGATATATTGATATTTTGGATGTGGGAGATTGCATCATTTACATATCCGAAGAAGGAGTGGCCTAATAAAAGATTTTAGCCAGGGGAAATAGACTACTTCTAATTTCAAAATTTAATTACGTAATCCCTACTCAACATAAATAAACAGTATTTGGAACTAGTATAGAGTAGGTCCTCCATTTGCTAGTTTCGTGCCTGTATTCTATTTTTTTATGGATTTGATCAAGTTATCAACAATTGTCTGATCCATACTTTGCCACTCCTTTAGAAATGTTTCTTAAGGGTTGCCACTGACGTGATTTTGGTTGCACTCTCTCGAAGTTTTTGGTGAAGGTGCTCCCAAACGTAATCCAGTTGGATCCATGTCAGGACTTTGGGCTACCCATCGCAGTGACTTGATTCCTTGCGATACCTTCCAGGCCTTTGCTACTTTGCTCGTATGACACGGGCTCCATTTTCTTGAAAAGGGTAGGCATTCTTGTCAATCTGATTGTAGGAGTATTCCTTTCTCTAATATTTGACAGTATTTTGGACCATTCAACCGCTCGTCAACAAGAATGAACTCAGATTTCTCTCCAGACCAGACAGCGCCCAACACCATTATTCCAATCCCTCCATGTTTCATGGTTGCCTGCAGACATTCACTGTTCCAAGTCTCATTTTGATTTCTCCAATCATAAACCAGTCTCGAATCCGAATGTTGGCAGAATTTACTTTCATCTGTCCAAATTACAGACTGCCAAAATTCATAATCTTTGCTCTCGAATTCTCTCGCCCAGTTCATACGCCTGTTCCTGTTAATCCCTGAAATCAAGAGCTTCTTTCTTGCAAATATTTTTTGATAGCCTAGCTCTTTCAGAGTCTTTCTCACCGCATATGGCGATATTTTCATGCTGTTGACGGCATCTTTGACGCTCTGACGACGGTTTCTGATGACTTCCTTCTCTAGCGCCCTTTTCGTTCTCTCAGACACAATGCTTGGTCTTCCTGAACATTGTTCCATACGACAATTGCCTTCTTCATTAAATTTCTTGACAATATTATTAACCGTTTGATGATTAACCTTGCAATTTCTCTATTTGACTTGACACACTGATGCCATCCTGTTATTTGCTCTCATTGAAATTCACCAATTTTCTAACTTCCCTGAACTTTCATTGCAAAATATAAGTCAACTATCGTTCATAGATTAGAGTAGCTTGATACTAACACGGTATTGTCAGGAAAAAAGAAGATACATTATTACACAAGTCAAAATTCCTTTAATTAAGGGTGGTTAAAAACTTATCATAGCCCACTGTAAAAGGTCTATATGAAGTATAGTTACATTAGTAGAAATATTAAACAACTTGTGAATACCACTCAATAATATTGAAGCATTCATTTATTATATATTTTTTTGTATTGAGTCCCGATAAAAATAAAATAAAATATATAAACAAAAATAAAAAGAATTCAAATTAAAATGAGGCATTTGTACTTTCCTTTAAAACCCTTCTTTTTCTCTTTCTCTCTCTACTTCTCTCTAAGCTAACGAGAAGGCAACCCTCGGATAAAAAAAGAGGAAGAAAAACAAAAGATTGAACCTGAAAGAAAAAAAGCCGAAAGTTTGCAGGACGAGAGCTATTTATTTATAACTATAAATCTACTAAGATAAATCTACTAAGATAAGGCAGGCTCCACGCATAACTTTCGTTATATATATATATATATATATATATATATATATATATATATATATATATATATATATATAAAAAAAAGGAACGGCAGAAAATAAAATAATTTTGGCCAATCAAAAAAATTAACATAAAGAGACTTTTGATGTTAGTCGAAACCAAGATTCGCGCCAGAATCTCGGAGCCTGTTCAAAAGGATATAAGCTCACAGCTCTGAGCTAGAGGAGGAGAGTGACGACAAGAGATACCACAAAAAACAAAAGACGCGGCCGCTAGAAGAAGAAAAAAAAGGCAAACGTGACGCATGTAGTAGTTAAGAGGTCATCTGCCAATGACTTTCCTGTTCTTCTTACGGTCGAGAAAAACACAGTAGAGTAACGCTGACCTATTTCTAAGATGATTAACACTAGTACGACCTGACTTTCGAAACTACTCACTACCGAATCGAAACGGGCTTTTTCCGTACTGCCACCAAGATCTGCCTTATAAATGAACATTTTGTTACCCTGAATATCAATGGACTCACTCCAATCTAAATCAAATAAATAAATATATATTATTTGTGTATACCTTATTGGTGAGGCGGGGGAGGATCGTTTTTTTTTTTTTTTTAAATTACCAAAATCGGGGAATTATCCAAGTTAAACTAAAATTTTAGTACATATTCATTATTTACTTTTATAATGAATAGGTTTTTTATTTAAAAAAAAAAATCTGAGAAAATGTTATTCTTTTTGTAATAACCGCCAATATTTTCATGACTGAATTTTACTCTAAAAAAATGCCGCAAAATAAAGATTCATCTCCGCTGAAAAAAAAAAATGTTTTACAAAGATTCCAACACAACACAAACGGGATTGTCTTCAAAATTTGTTTTAAAAACAGTATT